CGGGTCACACACACACACACACACACACACACACACACACACACACACTCAAACACACACACATACACACACACAAAACTGCAAGTATGCATTAGGCTGGGACGGAAATACCAACTTGATGTACCAAGGGGATCCTCTTAGGTACGGTACGTCGTAAAATTGCGCTCAAACTAACACATAAAAAAGGATTAAAACTAAACCCCCCGATGTACTCATAAACTCCGCTTAAAACAAAACACCAGGACGTCACCCGTGTCTCGAAGTAGCCTAATGGTTTAGGCAACACAGAAGACATAACATTTCTTCGATCATCGTTTGTGGATTTTAAGTTATTATTTTCATCGAATCTGGATGAGAGGGGGGGGGGGCAAAATCTCACCCGGGCCACGTTTACTCCCGCCTCCTAGATTATCTCAACTGCGTTGATAAGGGCGTTAACATTATCAGTTTAATTAATATAATTAAACCATCGATCGTCATTCACCCTATGTGGACAAATTCAGTTCAAAACAAAACACCTGTTGTACATAAACAAATTCAATGACCCTCGAATGTATGCTGTTCTCAGCCCACAAGCAGTAGGCCCACAGAGCGCTATTATAAAATCTTACGTGCGGCTGTTTTCTGTTTTTACAGCGTTTTACAGTATTTCTAAGCCAATCAACGACGCCATCAGCGACCCAACGATGGGTCCCTCATAGAATAGTGCACAGGGCAAGCCCCGTACGTTCGTTACGGTTTCAGTATGTAAAAGAGAAGACGCATTAGCATAATAATTATTTTGCGCGGACAGGAAATCACAAATCAGGGTTACAGATTTATTCAAAGGTACCACGATTGTCAGTTTTTAGGGTGAAGTGAAACAATAACAAGCATTGTATATATTACTATGGGTGCGGGGAAAACTACAATAACCAAGCACTTAGTTTTTAAAAAAAGATCACCAAACTTTTTTCCTTTTTCAGAACGGCTCGCCTAACTGGGAGAATGCCGAACGCGGGCTGAATAAAGATTTTGTTCACTACAATACACTGATATGTTACTAAAAAGATTTGTCACATGAAAGCCGACAAAGTGTGAGGCAGTGGCTGAAAGTCACGAGCTCTAATTAATTTGTTCACCAAGTCCTGGGCACGCTACAAACACATTATCGAAGTTGTTTCGTTTTGTATTTTTTGTGTAGTTTTTCTCCTCACATGGTGGCGTGGTGGCGGGCCAGACTAATTACCTCACGGGCCGTATCTAGCCCGCGGGTGGCAGTTCGATCAAAGACGTTTGGTGACTTCTGATCTAAACTATTAATAGCTCATGCCCACGTTGTACGAGTTTATTATCTTGCACATGGCTTTCACCTGACTTGTTTATCGTTTCTTGTTTTTTATGCGCTCTAATCGCTTGATTGTGACAGATTACAAATGGTTTAGTTTCACCGGTATTCTGCAAATAGGCGTAAACATCGACATAATATGAGGGGTGATCATAATTTACCACTGTAGCCTCTTCAATAATACACTGACCATTGTGTTTCGGAGAACATTGAATGTGTGAGTTAAAGGACGCAGCGGACGGGTTTTCACATCTGATAGATCATTCATTCTCTGATTGTAACCCCAGTTTATTGTACATGTAATACATCACCATTGGCACAATTTAGATTATTTAGTGAGCGGGCTACTTCAACCGTGCCTGGCAGGGCCAGCCTCGGTTTTATTGGAAGCAACATTCAAATGTGGACAAAAAGACTGAGATGATCGATAATAAAATTTCCTGTGCTCGGGAATCGAACTCACTTCGGGTGTGTGCAACAGCAAAGAAATAAACTATTATACCACAGTCGTGTACTCTGCAAGCAAGAAGGTTATAGAAAAGAAGAAAAAGTTGTTTTTTAAAAGTTAAGTAACAAGTATGCTCCAACCCGTTCTGCTAAACGTCACGAAAAGCTGTGTATGTTTTTAAAAAAAGTTTTAGTAGAGGTTTTACGGCGCTCGCAACTGCATAAGGTCATATGACGCCAGAAAATTAGAGGTGTTGTGTTACAAGAGAGTAACAAACAAACATAAAAAAGAAGAAAAGGAGGTAAGGATGACAGATGCTTGATAGGAAGGAAGAAGCAAACCACACCAGAGCACCCGCCAACCACCCTTAAAGAAGGTGATCAAATCAACCTGTTCGTCAACATTAGTACAGTGTTTATGCCCAACAGATCCCGTACCTCCCTCGACCTCCCTTCTAATATTTCTAACAAGACTATAAAAGCACAATTGTGGCATATTGTAGTATCAATTAGTTTGGTTGGGTAACACTTTTTTAATAATGTTATGTTGAGGCATTACAATTTCTCCTTATGACTTCGACGATATCTCGTACCCCTCTCGTATCCTGCTCCCTTTAACGTTTAAGAATTTCAACAGTGGCGACATAAAACCTCTGTGGGAAAGGTATCGGTCTGTAATAATGCAACAAGAATGTTTTATCCTGCCATTGAAATTTCTTCAAGAACGATAAACGATATATATCGATAAACGATATATACGG